AAACGTGTCGAGCAGACAAGCTGAAGTAGGTCATCTGAGTTCCTACCCCGAAAATGGCTGGTCCGCGATCAGCGACGGCAGGGGGGAGAAAAGTGTCTGTGGGCAGAACAAGTAGGCTGCGGCTCAGGAGCGGTACTGGAGCTGTGACCTACTGGGTAAATACTTAAATGTCGCTTCAAAATTTAAAGTCCTTGGGCTTTGTTGTTTGGTTTTGTGTTGGGTTCCCCCCCTCCCCCCTTTTAGAAGAAGAATAGGGGAACCATAAAGCTCTTGCTGGATAAAAGGGCAGAACTACTCAAGTCTGGCTTCCTGTTGATTTCTTTGTTGTGTATACTCATCCCTAAGATGATCACCACCATTGCTCTAGTTCACACTCGGATCCCCTCAGCATACCACCATGCGCCAACATCTTTTCTCTCTTCTTCCTTCCAACACCTAGCCAACATGTTTAATTTCTACCACACCTCCTATAAACTTTTTCACTGTCACTCATCTCCTTTCACTTTCCTTAATTATACCCTCTGGCTGGTTTGGATCTACACGTGTTGATTTGCCTTGCAGCAAGCAAAGCAGAACAGGTAACTGTTGAGCTCACACTGGAGATACTGGATCTTTTTCTGCCAATGTAGGGGAAATTTGTAGAAATTCAATATGTGTGTGGTCTCTTGTCTTTCTGACAAATGAGGTTGACATTTGCCAATGAGGTCAAAAATTGTGTGTCTTGAACAAAAGGCACAATCTCATTAATCCATTTTTCTCAGAAGATGCTAAAAGTTTTAACTAAGTTAGCAATAAGTGTACAGATAATAACAAAAAGCTAATTGTAAGGGCTAGTTCAACTATCTTAATTTAGATTAAAATTATTTTAACTAGCATAGTTTAAATTCTACTTGTAGCTCATTGTCTTCTTATTATGTTAAAAATTTATGTGATAAGTCCAAACGCTGATATAAAAAAGCAGGATTAGATTTTTCTACTAAGTAGTACTTAATTTGCTACTTTTTTGTATAAAATACACTGCAATTTTCTTGATAAATATCTTCACATTGAGCAAATAAGTCTTTATTAATAGTCTTTTTCTCACCTCTGGAAAAACTAATCATTATGGAAGCCACAAATATGTATAAGGAATGTTGGCACTTGGGATAAAGCAGTCCTGTCCACTTTGAGAGCAATGGCAAATCTGTAGTTTTCAACACAGCCATCTTAAGTATTAGTGATACAAGTTTTTCTAGTTAAAGACGATTCTCAGTCTTACGGATATATTAAGAATATTTCATACTGGGCACCTGATTTGGTATCAGTAAATGTAATTGGAAGAGCATGGAGCTGAGCTTGCTCTATATTTGGGAGCATGTTTTTCTGTACAGGTGTAGTGATGCAGTGACCTTTTAACCAAATGGTTTAAACTGTCTTAACATCTGTGAAGTGCAGTTACATCATCCACATAATGGACTAAAATGATGAGAAACTAATGTATATCTCATTGGTGTTAATTCATGACACAGAAACTGAGTTTAGATTCAGTTGGTTGAAGTTAAACTGGTCAAGTAACTACGGCTGATGCACAACTGGCAGTCTTAAAATGCTTGTCAAGCATGCACTTTGATCAGAATTGTTTTGATAGTCATCCTAAATCTCAATTTAAGGGCTGACCTGGGGAGCATATTTTATTTTCTGGTGGCTAGTGTTGTAAAATGGGAAGTTTCTGATGCATAATAGGTTAGTATTCCTCTAAGTTCAACATATGTGAAAATTATACTCTTCAACAGTATTTTAAAACAAAATGGTTCTCATCTTTTGTGTGTGTGCTTGTGATATTTTGGATCCTCCTGTGCATAAAGACTAAATTGGGTTATAGTACAAGTTTTTAGGAACAGAGAATAATAGGAGCTGAGAAACCTATCCATTATGAATATGGGCATATATGAGCACCAACACATCTGCTTGAGTTAAGAGGTTTCGCAAAAAGAAAATGGAACAAAACGGTCTCTCCTAGTACTGTACGATGATAGCTAAAGGCTGCTCAGTGGTGTTCTAGCATACTTACAGAGTGGTGTATAACCATACTGAGCTGAGACACAATCTATACTGAGTCTTAGTGTGTTTGGTTATAACTAGTTCTGATAATGCTTCTAGCATAACCATAATGACCTCAGAGACAACTGATATGTTATAAATAATTGTCACTGCTGTTGTGAACTGATGCAGATCGCTCGGAGATAGCAGCCTGGGTAGAGATTGTAAGAGGAGCTGTCATGGTCAGGTGTGTGCCCCTAAGAAATTCTTCATGCAGTGTGGACAGTTTTCAGGAGTACCTAAGTTTTATTCAGAGTTTTGGCAGTCTGGTTCCTCTGACTGGCAGCGATCAGTAAACTCCTAACTCCTCGCTTCTGAAGTAACCCAATGGTTTTGGAATTCTCGCCATGGATTGGGTGAAGTCTTTAATGTGAACCTACTGGTGTGCTTAAGATAAATTGTTTCCCAAACTTAGCATGTTAATTATAAAGAATTATTATTAGATAAAGCACATACAAACTTGATATATGTCTTTGTTTCCCACACTTGCAATTGTTGTAGCAATGGAAAGTTTCGGTATCTGCTGGTTATTATCTCTCTTTCACTTTTACGTCATTCCTTCTGTTGCTATTAGTGGGGAATTACAATGAAAAATGGTGGTTTGGACAAGGTTTAATGGTTTTAGTGTCA